CCATCATGTGCCATGACAGCTGGTGAGGCAGCACCATCTTCATTTAGAACAGGACATCGGAGTTTCAAGTGGAGACATGCAGGTGCTGCTATAATCATAAAAGCCTTGTCCAGGGAAGCCATGCTGTGAAGCCCAGGAACGCCGGTGATTGTGCCGTTGTGAGGCTTTCTGATAGCGTTATCACCTGGGCTGGTGTCAATTCCCCAGGTCAGTCAAGGTGAGATGTGTTGATGCCCAAACAGATGCTCGATGAAGATGGACCCCGCTGGCTAGAGAGGTTTGGACCCTCTAATGGGGATGTGCTGGAGGGGCTGGAGGAAGTACCTATAATCAACCAATTCATGGCTGAGATAGAAGCACTGTGTGGCTAATGAAGAGAATGCTATCCAAAGGAAACAGCAACAGCTTCTAAAAGCCAGAATGCTGAAAAATGATTAAAAGAATGAATAACCTGCGCTCAAATCTGCATCGTTCTGAAGATAGTTTTATGCCATTGTAGAGCCCAGGGGAAATATCTCTAAAGTGTATTCTTTTTGAAGGCACCCTTCTGTGTGGAAGTCCTGAGGCAGGTGTACTTGGATTCCAGAGCATGGGCTGTTCACACGTGAAAATCGCTTGCTGGCTTCGGCCCCCCCCCAGTGAGGTGCTGTTCCTCCCAACTTCCCTCAGTTACATTCAGGCAGATCCATGTTCTCTGCACAGTCTCTTTGCTTGTCTGTAGCACTCTGGAATCCACCGTGCTGCACAGTCTTGTCTCTCTACCTCTCAAGAGATGACAACATCGAGGCAAAGCAGGATGGCGTAGGGTGAAGGGTGGCGAATGGTGCAAGCCGGGGCCAGTCAGGAACCCAGGTTACGTGACCACCTGGCCCAGGCTTGAAGCATCATTGTCCTGTCATCTGGCTTTGTGAGAGTCCAGTCAGCCCGGCTTTCCATCTCTGCTGTGTTTGGTTGTGGTAAAAAGACCCACGCTGTCACGTTAGTAAAAGGAGAAACATGGAAAGTGCACCACGTGTTCCCAGGGGTTATTTCTGAGTTGTGTGATACCTTGGACCTTTCTACATTCTTTCATTTATACACAACAAGCACATGCATGAAAAAAAAATTAAAATTAACAATGCTGATTTAGGTGGGAAAAGCAAGATAGTGTGTGCGATTGCTTTTGAGGGACTCAGGTTGTAGCTTCAAGTGGCACAGAGGACGGTTCTGACCCAACAACCTTTTCCTAAAAAGTCCTAAACTACTGTTTCTGAGCCCAATTCCTCACAGGCTTGGATGGGTGTATCAGTAACATATTGCTATCAAACCAATATCAAAGCAGGCATTGCTGAGATTCCTACTGTGTAACTCAGTAAATCAAAGCACGAGAGAAAGGAAATGAACTGAAGGCCACACGTGTCTCTGAGCTGGATGTTCTAAAGCAACAGCTCTCGACCTGTAGGTCGCAACAGGGCGCGTATTAGCAGGTGCCCTGCATTTCAGGCATTTCCATTACGATTCATAACAGTAGCAACATTACAGTTATGAAGTAACAATGAAAACAATTTTATGTTTGGGGATCACCACAACGTGAGGAGCTCTATAAAAGGGTTGCAGCATGAGGGAGGTTGAGAACAGGTGTAGTTGGGTACCATATCTTTAAGTACCAACCCAGCTCTGTCATTTCTTCACTTTGAGGGGGAGCCAGGGAGCCCCCATTCAAGGTTGATTTCCTATGAGAGGAATTTGTCCCTGAAACACGTACCAACTGGGAAGCACCTGGCCCAATGGCTGAAGTGGCCACAGTTGTACATACTGTGGAAAGCAGTGCCTGATGGTAGAGAGAAAAGGGGATAAACTGTTCTCATTGGTTGAAAGCTCCACTGGCTCAGTACTTTGGGCAGATGGTAATAGCAGAGTCGGGGACCCTGTTTCTAGCCCTGCCAATCATCAGTCACGTGACCTGAGGAATGCCATGTCTCCTCTTGGGATTCCGTTTTGCTCTTTTTGAGACAGCCTCTCCTACCCCAGGGTGACCTGGCGCTTCTGACTTTTTGGCCTCCACCTCTGGAGTGCTTTGATTACAGGTGTAAGCCGCCACATCCAGTATATGGAGGCCTGGGGGCTAAACCCAGCATGCTGGGCTAGCATTCTACTAACTGAGCTACATTCCTAATCTCTTCTTCTCTGGGGACTGTGAAATGAGGGGCTGCTGGGCCTCACATTCTCCGAATTTCTTAATTCCTCACACGAAGGGCCTAGGGGCACAGATAACACCCGGGAGCATTAAAAACAGATTCCCACTCTGTGGAGAAAGGGAAGAGTGTTGGTTGCCTCATCCCTTCTGAGGCTAACTCTGGCATTTTTATTCCCCTCAAAATAACCCTTGAAAGGACACCTGCCAACTGCAGCGTTGGCCCTTCTGTGGAGCGGGGATGCTCTGTGGGGCAGCACCATTGGCATTTGAGAGACGAGACTTGCTGTGCACTTTCCTACAGCAGACTTAAGGCAGTCTGGAGTGATGGATATGCCAGCCACTTCTGTTAAGACTGAATGCCAAGAGAAGGCCGGGGACACCTGTCAGGTCAAAAATACTGTGCACCCTGGGGCTCCAGGCCTCCAGGGCCCCTTAGCCCGGCAGGTGGTGACTCACTAGGCAGCTTCTCCTGGCTTTCTTATGGCCATTGATTGTGGCTCATCAGATGACCTTCATAGCTCTACTTAGATGCTTTGTCCAAGAACCAAGGAGAAGGACTCTGACTTTTAAAAAAATATATTTTATCTTTAACTGATGCACAGTCAGATTGTATGCAATTATGGGATACAGCATGACATTCAGTGCACACAGATCTCAGTGATGACTGGCATATCCATTACCTCAGACGTTTATGGACTGAGGACATACTCTGAAACAATGAGTCGCTGTCGATCACAGCTATCCTAACATACCATAGAACATTAGAAGTTATTTCTTCTATTCAGCTGCACCTTTGCCTACTTTTCCTCTATTTCTTACTTCCTCCAGGCTCATGTGACCACTGTTTTCTTTTCTTTGAAATTAACTTTCCAGTTCCCACAAATATGGAAGCATATACGTACATCTCTCTGAGGTCCATCATAGCTAGGTACAAAAAGACAAGGGTATGAGGGTATGAGTGTGTGTATGAGTGTGGGTGTGTGTGTAAAATCCAAATCTCTGGCTCTCAGGGTGAAGCATTTTCCATGCAAGTGTGAAAGCATCCCTGTAAATGCTGGGCAGACACAGTGGCTTTGCCTGTAATCCCAGCTGAGACAGGCTCCCCAGAGCAAGATGGCTGGTCTAGATTAGTGAAATCAGTGAGCTCTGGGTTCAAGTAAAAGACCCTGCTTCAATATATTAGGTGGATAATGACTGAGGAAGTCATGTGCCATCAGCTTCTGGATACACACATATCTCATGCATCCGCACACATACACTCACACTTATATACAAAAAAACCCTAGAACTCATCCCCACCCTCCATCTTAGATACTTTCGGGCTCCTGTAGAGATGATGGTTACGTACTCTTCTAATGCTGAGGAGACTAGGAAGGGATCTGGTAAACAGAAAGGATGGAAGTGCAGCCAGGAATCTGCAAAGAACACACATACTGGGTGCCAGCTGCCCCAACAACACGAAACGGTTTCCGTGTCTCGCGTCAATTCCAGGTGACTGACTGGCAAGCAGCTGCTCAGATGTCTGTACCGAGAACTCCAGGGCTGACTGTGAGCCCAACCAGAAGGAGAGCTGTGCTAAAATTCCTAGAATGCTGTGACAAATTCGCACAAACATGGTGGCTCCCAAGTGACAGAATGTATCCTCTCACAGTTCTGCAGACAAGAAGCCTGAAATCAACATGTCTGCGGGATCACGCTTCCATCAAAAGCTCCAAGGGAAGATTTTTTCCTTGTTTCTGCCCCAATTCTGATATTCATTGGCTCATCTGCCTGTCTCCACACAGCCTCTTCCTTTTGTGCGTCTCTGTGTCTGCAAACCTTCTCCTTTCTCTAAGAAGGACTCCAGTCAATAGATTTAATCAAGGATGATTTCATCTTGAGATCCTTAGCTAATTACCACCCACGAAGACTCTACTTCTAAATAAGGCAGGTTCTAAAGCCGATGTCGAGGAGCCACCGTTCAACCCAGTTCAAGAGATGTGATGGCTGAGCGGTCTTGAAAGGCTACAGGTAAATGAAATGCTAGTACCAATATCCACCGCCCCCACCGGTGTGTTCATCCTTTACAGATGAAGGAACTGAGATCCAGACAATAGAAGAGTCTTGCCCAGAACCACAACATAAGAGCAAATGCAGGAAATGAGAAGAAAGTGGGTGGGTGGGGGGGCAAGGGGAGACACAGTTACAGGGGAGAAGTGGGATGGGAAAGGATGGGGATGAATTTACAGTTCGCCCTGGAACCAAGAAAGGCATCTTTGCATTTGAAACCACTATTCACAGATCTAGATGGAGTAAGCAAACGATCACTAGCCACACTGGAAGATGGCTCAGCAGTCAATCCCTTCCCTGCAGGAGCCTCAGGACCTGGGTTCAAGCCCCAGAACCTACATAAAAATGCTGGGCATGGCGGTAAGTGTTTGTAATCTCAGAGCCTCCAAAGCTCACTGGCCTGCTAGCCTTAGCCTGCATGGTGCGATTCCAGGCTCACAGGAGACTTTTTCTCAAACAGGAAGCAGCTAGTACTTGAGAAATGACACTCCACACAGGTATGATAATGTGTTCATGTGAACCTGAACACACACGTGCACACACACACACACACACACACACACACACACACGCACGCACGCAGAGAGCGGACAAGCCAACTACAGAGAAAACACAAGAGCACCAAAAGAATGTAATATCTTGGGGATCAACCTGCAGAACATGTTCCCCATTTTTTTGGCTGAAGGAAACAAAGTTCGTCTCACTGGGCAAAAGCCTTTGCAGACTGGTCCCTGAAAGCATAGTGCGTAGATGCCTGCTGGTTGCCATGGTGAATGATGCCGATCTGAAGAAATGAATAATGTGAACGTTGGGGGCGACCGTGGGATTACTCAGTGGTGAGACAGACATCAAGGAGAGCCTAGTGCGGAGGAGGGAGAAGCATATTCTCTCTGATTTGGTCCACTCTGTCTCAGAGGGGAGAAGTCTAACCAGACATACTGCGAGCATCAGGTAAGACTCATGGATGTCTGTCTTGGAAATAAAAATGGCTTTTCCTTTCACACTCAGCCAGGAGAAGGGCCAGGCTGTGGGAATGGCTAAAAACGGGAAGAGTTCAAAAACAGAAGGCAGGGAGAAAAACAAATATGGGGAGATGGATTTGTCCCTGGATGCTGAAGATGCTGCTGCCATGCTCAGCAGATGCTCCTAAAAATGTCTGCTCCAAGGAACTCGGGCTACAAAATAGCCTGCAGCAGAGGGAAGGGAAACAGAAGGCAAGGTATGTGTGTGAGAACAGGATTCCCAATTACCCTGATGGGAGGGCTTTACAGAGTGCAGAGCCTATATATGATACAGTATGAATCTGACCCCATTTATAGCAGTTGAAAATGTGTTGGCTGAACATGTGGGTCCCTGGGTGGGGAGGTGGGCATGTATGAAGAGACCAGGGAGGGAGGGGAGGAAATCAGTTTTCTTCCCGCAGCCATCCTTGAAAGGTTCTGCACATATCTGTCTCATCTTTTTCATTTCCCAATTACGGGGCAGGGATTGCCAGCCAAGTGGAAAAGAGTAATTCCTTTCCCCAGGTATTTCATTGTCTTTAGGGAAGAAAATCAAGGACTGAAAAATTACCTCACATAGCCGCATTTCCCCTCGGCATCTACCCTAACAGTGTGAGCAACAGAAACAGAAATCAGTTTGGCTTAACATTCACTTTGGGCTAACGTCTGACTGTGCCATTTCAGTCTACAATGAGATCTGCTCTTCTGGTATGGAGATGAGGAATGGAGAGCAAGGCACAGGGAGACAGTTACGGGAACATATAGAGGCTGGCTACCATTGTCTCCAGATTTTTGGTCAGGGGAAATTCAGAAGGGGATTTTTTTTTTCTCTCTCTCAGATAGAATGAAAGAAAACCCCAAAACCTCGATGCCTCTCTTACCAAAGCAGAAAGGCTGGCATCTGAACAGGGCTCGGCTGACTTGTCCGGCCACAGCCACCAGGGCCCGTCATTTAGCAAGAACGTTCTGTGATTAAACCCAGTGGCTTTGCCTAGAAATACAGTGGCTAAGTTCCCTCTTTTTCTGTGAGCTGAGATGCCCAGCTGCTCATTTGTAAGATGGGAACGGAGTCTGTTGTTGTGTGAGAAGCCATCTAGCACAGCCTGGATTTAAGAACTGTTTGCTTGCTATGTGAGTGGCCAGACCAGTGGTTCTCAATCTGTGGAGCACAATGGCACTGGGCATGGAATGACCACAGGATCGACTAAGACCACAGGACAACACAGATATTTACATTATAATTCATAACAGTAGCAAAATGACAGTTAATGAAGTAGCAACAAAAATCATTTTCTGATGTGTATGTGTGTGTGTGGGGGGGGGCGGTTACCACAACATGAGGAACTGTGTTGAAGGGTGGCAGCATTAGGAAGATTGAGAACCACTGAGTTAGACAGTTACAAATAGTCATGGCACTATTGTGGCTTTTAGAAGTCACTATTAGAAGAAGTTAAGCCATCCTGGCAGCTGATGACCTTGAACTGAGAAGCTAATTTCTTGTACCATGGGCTTTTGCAAAACAGTAACAGAAGCTTTGAGGTGGGCTCCAGTGTGAATCTCTACTAGCCACAGGAAACATAACTCAGAGTCTAAACAAACAAACAAACAAACCCCAAGCCACTGGGCAGAATAACAGTTCACAGCCCTCAGAGCAGAGAATGGAGGTCAGGGAATCTGAGAATCATAAGGCAGGCCCTCCAAGATTCCACTGAGCTCACTTCATACTGCCAGTGTTCGAAAGGGCTGGGAACATTGCAGTCAGTAATGGATTTCAGGCAGGATGGGGAATGACTGGAGCCTTGCGGGTGCATCTTAGGCCTGAGGGCTACAAGCTTTGTCATGAGCCGGCCCTCATTCCTAACTGTGTTCTGCCACTTGTTTGCCAGCTTAACCTCTGGACCTTATTTTTGTTGTTGTTTTGTTTTTTGTCTGTATAATGAAGTACTTTTGGCCACCTCACACGCTCAGCTAGCAGTTGGCTAGGATTCTGGCAAGTACTGGTGTAGGGGAATGTCACTCTTCACTGTGATTTGGTTCCAGAACCGGGATGAACATTGAGGTTGGGAACGTGTCTCACACGGGAGCCATCATCTCCTGGTCGTCCTCGGAGCCCTGCTTGGAGGACTATTACCATATTATGTACAGGCCCAACTGGAACAGCATCTTCTCCGGCTACCTGCGCTACAGCTTCCATCACGAGGAGAAGGTGCCTCGGACCATCACCTCCGTGGCGTTGGAACACCTTGCCCCTTCCACTCTCTACTTCCTCTGCATCAGCTGCAAGAAGGCTGCCTTCCCATACAGTCACTACTGTACCATGTTTCACACCCTGGATAAGAGTCCACTGGCTGCGGGGGGCTCTCTGGTGGACCCTCAAATTTCTCTCTGGGTACTGATGGCCATCCTGCTGGCATGCTTCACGGCTGTGTTGGCCTTCATCTGCCTCCAGTTCTGGTGCATCCGGTGTCATGAGCCGAGATGGTCTTACAGAGCCGGACACATGGAGGAAGCCAATGGGTTGGTAAGATGGCCGGAGGACACCCCAGCTCTCGGTCAGAGGGAAGAAGACATGCAGGGGCTACCCCTGGTGGAACTTCCAAGGAAGAACTCTGGGGCCAGAGCTGAAGCTGAGCCAGAGGCTAAAGCCAACCAGGATGTGGTGGCCTTAGCTAGAGAGGGTGGTGACCAACCCGCCATCTTGCCTCACTATAGGGAGTAAGTGAAGTGGAGGAGATGCTCCATTTCACGTAGCCTAAAACGCTCTCCATAGCGAGTCCTGTGTGAAAATTTGTCTGTAGATCACCCATTTCTCTCCTCGTGAATGTCAGCGCTGTATGAGTGAGTGAGGTTGGATGGATGCCGTACAACAACGGTCCCGAAGCTGGAAAATGGACCCTCAAGGCATTGTTTCTGCATTGTCCCTGTGGAGGCTTAGTTAAGAACTTGAGACCTTGTTTCAATATTAAAATCAACCACGGCTGTATAACAGACAGTACAAGTAGCTAGACCTGAATCTGACAGTTCTTGAAAGGAATGCCGCGTCAGTCATCTATTTAAAGGTACGAAAGCCTCAGCCTGCACCTCCAGGTTAATTTCCTTTTTTTTTTTTTAAGCCATAGACTGGTTTATCACTTTTATTAACAGCTAAGACCTTTTATTTAAATTGACCACAGCTTTAAAACATAGACTCTCAGGAGACAGCTTTGTATAAGCCCGGAAACAGAAATCCAGGCCTCTCTTGTTATAAGCAGAAGGGAACAGAAGAAAGGATAAACACAACAAGCAAGATGACATCAAATTGGATGACTACCAGCTTGCCAATGAATCCTGGGCTTAAGACCTGCTCTCTCGTGTTTGGTAAACAGGTAGGCCAGCCGGTGCTGAGGAGAACAGCATCAACACTAGTGTCAATGCTTTTCCTTTACATAACATAAGGTTCGAAAGAGAACAGAAAAGGGAAGCGTGCCTCTTGGTTTGTGAACCATGTCTGTGAGCCCCCTCGAATGATGTCTGCAGGCCCTCCCCATTCTTTTCTTTCTCCCCCGACCCCCTGTTTATGGGGGTGTAGTCTTACTACACAGCCTTGGCTGACTAGAACTTGCCATGGAGACCAGAGTGTCCCTGAACTCCCAGCAGTCCTGCTGCTCTGCCAGGGCTAGGACATTTGTGTTACAAGCTTCTCTCGTTTGAGGAAATCGCCTCCAACAGTCTGGCTCCTCTGGAGAAGGCACCTGCCCTCCTGAGCATCCTCCTCACACCCTGCAGGTGTCCCATCCGGAGCTTCTCCAGCTTAACCACACCTCTAAAGCTGAAGATCTCTTGACCTCATGCCATCATATTCATCTAAGCCTATCTCTGCTTATGTTGAAAAAGGGGGACCAAAGGTGGCTGTTTTTGTTCTGTCAGCAAGAAAATCACTGCCCTCTCTCTTGGTGGTAGACATGTTTTACCCTTACCGTGTCTTTCCTTATTCTTTCCATACGAACCCCTATTATAAGATTAAATCTATACATACTGTGACATCGGTGGGACTTGGTGAAAACTATTCCCTACCACAAATGTGGAATGAAGTATGGCTGGGTGTGGGTTATGTCTTCTTCATCTCTGATGTACAGTGAGCATTTATAATCTAACCCATGTCTGGCCTCAAAGGGGTATATACTAAATGTCATTGGATGGATGAATGGCCA